AAGATTTATTTTGTAAGTGACCTTCACTGTATTAGCTGAAACAGTAATCAGAAAAATTAATAGAATAATCCAATTATATACAAACTCATAAATCATCACAAATGTGTTGTCAAAAATCAAAAAGCTTTTAATATGTACATTTGCTTCACAGCTGTATTAACAATTACACCTACTGGTTCTTACCTTGATGGGAACTGAAATGGCATTTAAAGGCTGCGTATGAGGGAGGGCTACCAGACCAAAATTTTTCAGAACTGTTAATTTAGTTGTGATAAGATTTGATGTCCCTGGTGCAAAGTTGAAGTAGAGTACAGTGTTCTTGTTATCCTTCAGCAAAACTTAAAATATTGTTGTAGGCAGTAGTTAATTAGAGTAATATCAGTTTAAATGCCTGTCATTCAGGGTTAATGGTATCAAAGAGTTCCCTTGTGCTTGGAGTCACATCTTCTTGAATAGCCTATTGTATGAAAGTAACATTAGCGCAGTGATTTCACTTTTGCCATAGATTATTGGGTCGACACTCAGTTAATATTTCAGTTTCTATATTTAAATAATTTTGCAAGTTCTTCCTAAATATGAAGTTTTCCAGGCAGGGCTGTTTTAATAGGTATTTTGGCTCTGCATGGTTGTTTAATACAATACAATCAAAATTCATTCCTATTTTCGTTTAAAAAGAAACACTTTCTGCTGGCCTACTGTGAAAACAGGTCATGCCCTCCTCGGCTGGATAGCAGACTATTCTTGAAAATAAGTAATTTGCGTTTTTGTGCAGCCAAGCAGCAAAGTTCTTTCAAAGCATGTTAATAAAATGAAGTGTGTTTGTTTATATTAAAAACAAAACAAACAGCCACCAATCTTTACTGTAGTTGAAGTGAAAGGAAATGTATAGTTTCTACAGTTTTTAACTAGATAATCTTAGTTCTTGTTAGGAAACACTACAGACTTTTTGTTATACCGTATGAAATAAATTTATTAGAGTTTTTTTTGTTTTTGTTTTTAAATCCTGATACCTGTTTTATCAGCTTAGAAGTCACTCTTTGCAGCAGCATGGACAGTGAGCCAGTGTCTCAAGGCCCTGTAATAATTCTTCAGCGGTTGTTATTTTGTATTGTGTTCAACAACATCCATACAACCATGAGCAGCATTCAACGTGATGAATTTTGCTTGGACAGAAGTGGTGCTTCTAGGGTATTGGATCTTGTGATTTGGCAAAAAGCAAGTAAGAAATATTGTTTGCATTTCCATAAACCATTTGTTGGAGTACAATTCGTAAGAGATGTGGGCTGTTGACACACTTCAGCCATTGTCTATGCTGCATTATTCATACTGGTTAAAAGGTATTGTGGTTTTAACTGTCCTTGAACTATCTAGCATGGCTTTCCAGTGCCAATACATTTTCTGTTTTTGGAAGTCAAGTTTACAACATCAAGCTTTTCTTTTCTTCCAAGTTTACCATCCATGAAAGTTACATATCTGACATTACTGACTTGGATTTGTTCTTATGCAAGGTGTCAGGGTGAAAAGGCAATGAATGTTCTTCAGTACTGCAGAATATCTTTAGTATGTAATAAAGTATTTCTTTCAAGGCATCATAATATCAGTGTGACGTTCACAATCTCTTCTGCATCCCTGTTTTTTTGCAGTGCCTCATTGCATGGTCACTGAATTGATGAAGAAATGTGGATGAGTTACAGCTTTTATCTTTAATTTCTATGGAGACTACTATCTCCTGACAGACTGTTTTCTGTGAGCTGCTCTTGCAAACAAACAGTGCATACAGCGGTATGATTGGGAAGACAGAAAACAGTTTTGCAGAAATAGACTTTCTTGTACTTGTCAGTTGGTATCTTTCATTAAATAAAGTAAGGCACATTTTTAACAGAGGAGAATAAATGTCATTTTCACTTGGAAATATATTCACATTAAAATGTGCTTTTGGTTTCACACCTGTGGAATAATTGGACTTCATCAGGAAATTAGAACATGACAAGCATTGGTTGAACAATTAGTATTAGTTCTGCATACTTACTGTGAAGTTTCAGTAATACTTGTAAGTTGGAACTCAGCAGTAGTTGGAATTCAGCAGTAGGTCTGAAAATTGGTTACCAAACTGAGAATTCAGAAAATCCTTTTCCTAAGAATGGATGAATTAGATTTCTTTTTAATTATTTTTTACTCCATATTAATTAAAACAAACAAACAACAAAACAAACAAAAAAAACCAAAAAACCCTACTCTTCCTGTTTTTAAATAATATATGATTTATTGGGATTCACTGAAGACTTGTAACTTAAAAAGCCACAAGTTGTAAGCCATGAAGTTCCCACGCTCACCCTGGAAGTCGAGGAGAACTACATTCCAGCAAACTACCTTGCCTTTCTTAGATTAATTGTGCGCTGCAGCTGGGCTGATGCTTAGCTAATGCCATACAAGTGTTAGAAATGTGTTAACACTAATCTTTTTAATTACAGTGTAAACTCTATTAAAGAAAAAATAGGATTGCACATTTCTTTATTTTAAATGCAACACCTACACTGACTCTGTTAATGAGATAAAAACTAGAAATGACATCCATTATGCCCTCCTACTTTCAGCTTTGTCCATTTGTCTGTGAGCTGAAAACTAAATAGCTGGGTCACACTAGAATTTAGTGGAATAAAAGGGATGTTAACTGGAAAACTTAGACTATCCTTCTCAGATATGGTAAAATGTGACAAGTTTGTAGCATGTTCAGTATTTTAACGGATTTTTATGTTTTCTTTATTCTGAATAGCAGGTATCACAAAAAGGCATGGGTTTATTTAACTTGTAGGAAGAAGGAAGGCTTGATAACATTTTGACAGTTACCTCAGCAGTTCTCTCTGAGGATACACAGTTTATGCCAATATGAAGATTGTATTCTTTCTTTTCTGCATTCATGAGATCAGTGATAGCTGATTGAAGTGAATGATCCATAGGAGAAAACAGAATAACAAAGATTCCCAAGATACGTCAGACGGAACAGGATGAACTTGAAGTTTTAAGGGATCAGGGACATCTCGCCCATCTTCCTTCTTCACATATTTCCACACTGGCTGGAAAATTTAAAAAGAGAGATTGTTATTCTTTCAACATAATAGGAAAAATATTTCATCAGTGATTGTACTGTTGTACCTTTTGCTACACTGAGAACTTCATCCTGTCTGTTTCATATTATTCTTACAGTAAAAATATCCTGAAAAATCCTGAAAATAGTGCACTGTTAAAAAAAAAAAAAAGGACTGAATTGTTGTCCATGCTTTTTTGGTGGCATTTTCAAGAATGTTATCTTACTTTAAGATTTTTTAAGGACCTAGGGTTAAAGCTTTTTAGAAGTAGTGACATTGCAGCTATTTGAATGTTAATGTGCTCCAGTTAAAACTTTGGGCATCTCTTAACAGAAATTAAGCTTTTTTTTTTTTTTTTTAATTTTTTTTGTAGTTGTTAGTTATCTTGTGTCTCATCATATCATCTGAAAACTAATCACCAGAGGTTTAGCCTGGAAGATCCAGGAAGTTAGGATGGGGAGATAAACCCGAGATTGTGTTTGTCACCAGACCAACTGAACTTCTACTGTGCTGCTTCATGGGGGAACAGTTTTGAATCTTGTGCATAGGACAGATTCACGTGGAGAAGAGCTTTGGTGAGGAGTAGTGTGACATCCGGGCTAGTGATGAAATCTTGCAGTGGGCTCTCTTCACGTGAAGGCCCAGATTTCATTCAGGTGCTGTCATATTAGTTCTTTGGATATGGAACAAAGAAGATGGCTCACTGACCTTTCTAAAATAAGGAAACCTGGGTATGATTTGCTTTAGCAGATTAGTCTCTGGTCTTAGTTATAAGTAGTCTGCAGTGAAACGGGGTGGAGAATAGAAGACACGGGTCTTAGAGCAGCATGTTTCTAAGCTGGAATGCATGCAAGGTGTAGTTGCAGGTTACCTCTTAGAATGAGCCATGTTACAAATGCTGTGGTAAAACGTGCCTGTTGAGGACTGAGTTTGAGTTGTTGACCCCTACTGCAGCAGTGTCATTGTACTGAATACGTCCCACTGCATCAGTACTATCTGACCAGATAATTACAGAATCTCTTATGAAAAGGTATATCCTGTAACAGTTGGTATCAACACATTCAAAAGTAACTTCCTAACACTTTAAATGAAATAAATTATTATATTTAACTGTCAGTCTCCTTACAGTATAAAAACAGATGAGTTGTAGTTCTGGCTTACTGTTTAGATAGTGTAATTTACTTTCTCTTGTGTGATTGGGATCTGTTCCTAAGTAGAAAACTGTTCAACAGCTTAGTTACTGTAACATTTTAAAAACTGACTTGTGAATCTGGTTCCTTTGTCTGATTAGAACTTTTTTTATTCTGTACATAGCAGCTAGATATTAACATTTGCAGAACTTACGGAATGACTGTTTGTAAGAGGACACTCTAAGATTTTAAGTACCCTTTTCTGTTATCCTCAAAATTTAAGCTACTCATAGCCAGTGAAGTGCCTACACTGCTTAGTGTCATGTATGAACTGAAAAGTAATCCCCACAGATTCATAAGAATAAACGAATAATTTTTGAATCACACTTAAAATTCAGATAGGAATTTGGTTTGGTTACTGTGTGTTCTTCTCATTCTATACCATCTGCAGTGTAACATGGTCAGTAGTTACTCTGTTTGTCTGCAGTAAATAGGCACTTTTCCTATTTTTTGAGGATGGAGGATGATAATAGAGAATGAGTTCTTAAGCTAGTGTAACAATTTAGGAGACTGTGATAAATGCAGTTTAAAAAAAAAGGTGAACAAACGTTTTGCAAAACTACATGGCAGTATGCTTTTTTTGGATAAAGTTTTGATCGTCTGATTCAGAAATGGACTTGTCATTAAGAATGTTGTACTGTGACAGTGTGCACAAGACTTTGCCTTGCTCACATGGCTTATGGTTAGTTGTGATGGGAATAACCTGTATTTTGTATGTTTCTAGGATGTGTGCTGTATTTGGTGGTATCTATTGTCTTCGCCATTCTGTGCAGTGCCTTGTAGTGGACAAAGAATCAGGACGGTAAGGATAATATAAGTAACCTTCTGTTTATATACAAAATACAGATGAAAAATGTGTTAGGTCAATTTAAAAAAAAAAAAAAAAAGATTTTTCAAAGATCCTCCTTGATATTAATAACACATCAACCTTGATTAAAAGTAATTTGTGTATAGGTCCTCCAGAACAAGGAAAGTGGGTCTAGAATATAGAAACTAAATTAATTTCCTTGTGATATTACTACAGCTCCTGATCACCCAAGCTTGGAAGACAAATCATTTCAGCTGCCGGGGGCTGGTGATGAGTGATGTTAGTTTTCCTTGTGGCCTTACCTACTCTAATTGATTTTCATCAGATGACAACAAAGCCCTCTGTTATTGCGTTTTTAAAAATGGAGCTCACCTAAAGACTCATCAGATTAATCTCTGCTGATAATGCATGTCACTCCAAGAGAAAAGACTTTAATGAGTTTTTAGGTAGATTGTTGTCATAAACTATGCTGCCCTCTTATTCTAGGATAAATTCTTTTACAATATCAGGCCTGTAGGCAGGCTTAAAGTTGAGCTAAGAAAAATCAACCTGTAGTTTTTTCCATAGTGGCATTTTTCTGACACCTCAGTAGGTTATCATGGTGTGTGTTATGAACGTTCTATCAGTCATTAGACTACCTGCAGACTTTGACTCTCTTAAGATTCTTTTTTTCGATTTTCAGTTGTAATTGAAAACTTGAAAACATTCTGTAGAAAAAGCAAGCTAGAAACTGTGTAGGAATATCGGTAGTTTATCTTGCTTACAAATAAGTTAAACAAAATACACATAGACAAATTGTGCAGTGTTCATGACTAGTTCAGAAACATTTTTCATAGAGTTCCAAATTTTATTAAGGTTTTAATTTTTTAGGGTTTTTTTCAGTGTACACGTAAGGACAATTCATACTTATAGACAAAGCCTTGATTTTCATCTCAAACTTCTTATTGTTTGTTTAGTATTTTAATCTAACTCTAAGTATCCACAAAGTTCATTCCAACTCTTCTCCAGACACAGCTAACATTCTGTCTGGCTCAGAAAACGAACAAGCAGTTCAGTATCTAGATCAACTGCTTTTCCACTGTTTTTTACTATCTCTGATATGCAGAGAGCAGTCAATGATAGTCCCAACCTCCCCAGTTATTTTTAGCGTGTTATTCTATCCCTTTTTGAAAGTAAGATTCAGAGGAGACAGCAAGAAAGTATGCAAACTTTTAGATGTACTTGTTTTAAAGTTTCATTAATTCACTTCCAAATTTCTACTTTTTAATTATCTAGTCAGATTATGTCCAGTGTTCTAACACATATTCAAAACTTTCTGTGCTCTTGATGGAAAGCTAATGTGTTGTTAGAAAATAAAAACAAAACAAAGCAAAAAAAAGACCAGTGTGTTGCTTAGTTTGAGGTTAAAGCAAATTGAATGTATTGATGATGATTATTATTTTTTTGTTATTTTCTGCATTTTTATTGTAGGTCACTTATTTGGCTTTGTGTGATGAACTTTATCAAATAAATGTCTATTATTAGTATTACTTTTAAAATATGTTTCCAATTATTTAATTATGTCTTGAAAATGGAAGAGATATGAGAAATGGAAATTTATACATCTGTAATAAAAAGATATAGCAAACACACAGTAATTTACATATCTGTCTTGAAATACTGCATACCAGCTTTGTCAGTGCTGGTAAGTCCATTTCAAGGATGTCGCCCTTAGTCCATTAGTTTGGATAATGAGCCCTATAAAGTACATTTATAACTCGTGGCACTGCAAGGAGATGGATTCTAATTTTCATCCTTTTATCTAGACACATTGAAAGAAGGTCAATGGAGGGTTCTGTATGATTCATTGTCCCAACACATATCAGATGACAGAGACCTGATAATGTCAGTGCATAAGTGTCTTCCATATTTGGAAGCAGTACTTGAAAGAAATTTTCTCAGCATCATCCTTTGAAGTAAAGTGGAGACTGATATGAAATGCACTGTCTCTTTTCTGTTCAAAATCTTATCAAACACACAGCCTGGTAGCTATTCCTGAACAAAGGAGAGGAAACAACACTTAGCAGGAAAATAAAAAGCACATAGCTGCTTTTGCTGGCTTTGAGTGATATAACATGACATTTAATCAACCTTTCTCCTTCGATTACATGTAGGGGGGTGGCAGGGGAAATTGTTTCATAAACAATAAGAAAGATTATAATTAGGTAAAGCTGTAACAGCTTGATTTCCTTGTTTATTTGCAATATTCAAATGAGTGCTTGTGAAAGAAATCAGGTTAACATTAAGAAAAAACTTCTTAAAGTTGCAAACATGTTGAACAGAATGTGACTGTGAAAAGTACTGCATGTTTAAAGTTAATGCTTATACCATTTGATTTTTAATTACCACTTTGCAAGTTTTCTGTTACATTTGAATATAGGTATATACGTAATGTTCAGATTCCTATGAAACAGATATCAGAAATTAGCATTATAAAAGTGTGCTTACTTGTTATTAACTTCTTACTTTTTTATGTAAGTATTGCCTCCACCCTTCTTCAGTTTTCATTTCTGACTAGAAGAAGCAATGTGAAATACTAACCCTGCTAAAGCTAGCGACAACTGACTGCAGTTACTTATCTAGGTTTGATTCTCATCTTCTCTAGTTGTATAGATGGTCTTGATCACAGAAGTTACAATAATGCTTATTCCTAAGGCACAGCATGCATGTCACGATATTTACTGATAGGGGAACAATATGCAATGGGGGAAAATAACACCATGATGGTAAACCCACAAAATCATTCAGAGTATGACTTTTCCATGTAACATGAAGTGTGAAATATATGCTGTTTTCATGCACAGTCAAATGGCAGTGTTGTTAATTTAAGTCTGTTTTCCTTATAAAGTTACACATTTATTAATACTCTAACATGTACATAAAATTTATGTACCAAGTAGAACATATAAGTATAGGATTTCTTCATCAATTGTTTTAGGAGTTCACATGATGAAAGAACAGATAATTCATTTGACAGATATATATGATGTGCCATATAGCGTTTAAAACATACATGCTTTTGTTACTTTGTCTGAATTTATTAATTTGGTTTGAATTTTTTTAACAGATGCAAAGCAATTGTTGATCATTTTGGACAAAGAATAAGTGCCAGCTATTTTATTGTGGAAGATAGTTACCTTTCCGAGAGTGTATGCGCAAATGTATGTTATAGGTATGTAGTAAAACAGAATACTGTATCTCTTCAAACAGTAATGTATTACTCTGCAAATTAAACTTAAAAGAATATTGTTCCTTAATTAATCTTTGTAGCACAGCCTAGTTCTGTGCATAGTTCTTCTCTTCTTTGTATATACTTGCAATTTTTTTCATCTTTCTGAAATGACATATTTTTCTTTTTATTTAATTACAGGCAGCTCTCCAGAGCAGTGCTCATTACAGATCAGTCTGTGCTAAAGACAGATTCAGAGCAGCAGGTACATATCAATTTTGTTTCACTTACTTCTTTATGAACTGTTAATGTTTAAACTGCTTAACTGTTATGAATTAGCTTATGCTGTTGTTTCTTCTTGAATCAAGGTTTTTGGTCAGCTCTCTCTATTGATATTTGTACTGATAAAACTGCTAGTAATACCTCTATATTTTAGTTCTGTGCCTGATGGTTCCCTGATCGTTGGTTCATGCAATATTAATTAACAGTTTCTTGTGTAAGATGTAATGTTTTTTTAAAACATTCATGTCTATAGATTGAGATTCTTTTCATATTTGTTCATATCTCTTCGATTTTCAGCTTTGTCAGACTTTTAAGGTCAGCAATCTGTGTTTTTTCTGCTGCTTCCTGTATTCTCACGTATTAAATATAGTCTACAGGCTAAAAATATAGATGACAGAGAAGTGTGTTCTTCCTAACCTTTGTTTCTAGCAGTCTTGCATTAAAATACTCCTCTCATTCCCATATAAGAACTGTCTTGACAACTTAATTCCTAAACTCATCATTTTGGAAAGGACCGTGCTGTGAGGTTTTCTTTCTATTTTGCTGTTGAAGGTGTTCCAAACAAAGATGACCTTATTGACTTCTATAAAAATTTATGTATGCATTATCTCTGCAGAATTGATCCCACAGATTATTAAGATTATAAATCAGAAAATAAAATTGTATAATACCTTGCCGTTGTTTTCACCTTTACTTATTTCTTCGTATTCTGTATTACTTTGCTTTAACAGAAGTTTTTTTTAATAATAGAAACACTTTATCACAGTTTATACATACAGAAATTGTAACTGTTCCTCTAGAGCTTTTTATATATATTGCATAAATGCATATTTATGGGATTGGCAAACTTCAGATGACGAAGCAGATACAGTTTTTCTGTGACTATGCAAATATTTATTCTGAATTTCTTGGTAAATATTTGTTAAGCTCAGATAATCTGACTGTTTTTGTAGAAGTCTAAAGGTATTAAAGCTCTGTATTTTTTGATAGATTTATCTTTCCATAATTCATTGTGTGTACCTATGCCTGGGTAGAACAAGCGTATTTTTTTTTGTGTTCTAAATTCTGCTACTGGGCAGATCTAGTAATTACCAGCCATTTCTTAATATTGTGATTTACTTGCAATACAGTGGATACCAAACAACTTTTAATTAAATAGTTGATGAAAGTAAGTAGAGTTGCAGTCTGTAATATTTTAGTGTAAGTTAATACAGCCTAGAGAAATAGCATTTCAAATCAGCTTCAATTCAAAATGTTCTCTTTCTGCTTGGTAGGTTTCTATTTTGACAGTGCCTCCAGTGGATTTAGGACAACCAGCAGTTTGTGTCATTGAGCTGTGTTCCTCAACTATGACATGCATGAAGGACACATGTAAGTATATGCATGTGATATATGTAATCTTAACTGTGTTTCTTCTTTTGACTGTCCACTCTAGAACAAAATTTTAAGAAATTTTAACTAAATTTTAAATTCTAATTTTAAAATGTTAACAAAATTTTAATTCTTTTATTATCTACTGGTAATTTGTCATTTGAGAAAAGTCAGTACTAAGTTACTGTTGCCAGCAGATAAGAGAACTGGTCCACTGTCTGTTTTTTATAGTAATTCGGATGCTTACAGAGCATCATACAAGACTCTTGTTGCACTCGTTTTCATTTAAATTTATGCACAGTACTGATAACTTTAAAGTGCTGTTGTGGTTCTCATGACAGTGAGGTGTGTTATTTTTGTTTCTAATTAAGATCAAAATTAAGCACTGCCTTTACAATCATGTGGCAAACGAACTTGGAAGTTGCAGTTTTATAAATAATGGGATACAGTTCTGTTTGCATTACAGTAATTATAAATTAATACCAACTTTTTTTTTCTGATTGCGGTGTAAAATTTCACGTTGTATGTTTTGTTTATTCTGCAAGATTATTAAGGCTATTAAAGATTCAGCAGAACGGCAGGTATGTTAGCGGAGAGCTCTAGGAGATTTACTCCTCCGCTATAACTGAGATTCTACAGTCTCTTAAGTCAAAATGTGAAGTTTTTTTTTAAACTTAGACATGGTTGGTTTTCTATAATTTTTCTGTCAAGAATTTCTCTTAGCACTGTAATTAAAATGCCAAAAACCACCTGAAGTATTTTCTTGTTTCTGAAAAAAGGCATGTAAGCACAAAGCTGGGTTGAGTTATTTAAATGTTAATATAATTTTTCCTTGAACTCCTTCACAAAATATGATGCATTATTTAATGAAGTTTATCTTTATTGCATTGAAATGAGTTGTATTTTAGAAATAGCTCAGTTCCAGTTATGGGAAATATTTATGTATTTAAAATTAAAAAAAAATCAACTTGTACTAATTATCTGTAAATAGCTTTTAACCTGACTGATTTCTTTTTCAAGCAATTATTTAAGATAAGTTTACAAATACATCTGCTCTTTCATCACACTGCATAAATGACAGGCACATAATCTGTATTGCCAGTTGAGTGGAACCAAACTCCTTCACTTGCCCTAAAAATTGAGACTGTAATGATGAAATCATGAACTGAACTCATCGTTCTTCTTGCTGGAAGAATTACTCGAAGACAAATGTTGGCAACCACTGTAACTAATGCAGTTATACCTGAGTAAATCAAATATAATCAAAATATGTACTGATGACTGTAACTCATAGCCATAACCTTAAAGGTAATAAAAAAGGATTTTGCAGGAAGTAAATCATGAACTTTAGTGATTTAGAGCTGGGTGTTTTGTTTTGTTGGAAGAACAGAAAGAATAGGTTGTGTTACAGTGTTTGTAGTTGTAAACATTTAGTTAATGATACAAGAAGACTTTTCATTGTCACTGCCTGTGCTCCACAGTAATTTAAGTTACTGTGAGTAAGTAGCCTAAGCAGGCAGAGTAAAATTCCAAATTCCCACTCAGTCCCAATTTAGCCATTACTGCAGGGTGTTGATTAAAGTACTGGTATCTGTGGGTTAAGTAAGTTGCTGAACTGCTCGATTCTCAAGGACTATGGAATGTGCTCAAGGATGTTCTTCAAGTTTCTAGATATCATTAATTGAAAATATGAATTTGCTCTTTCATAGTCTTGCTTTTCCTGACATTAGTAGTCACCTATTCATAGAACAGTATTCTCCTAGTCTGTAGTACTGATGTTAAATTGTACTTTGATCTCTAATTTATGTGGATGAGAGAGTATAATTATAAGATTCCTGGGTGAAAGGCAGTTATTGGGACACTGATACCTGGTGTACTCAAGAACTCAGAAGTTTCAATGCATATGACTCACGTGTTGTATGTTGAAGGATGGCATAAGGAATTCATGTTTTGTGAGGTTTTTGTTTGTTTTTAAGTAAACTGGTAACATTACTTTGGAATGGAAATTAGTGTTTAAGTATGTATACACGAGCTCATACCTAGTATTTGTTTCAAAATGTTTCATCCTGCAACTTTGGTTCCTCAGTTTTGTGCAGAGCTTCTGTGATAAACCTCTTAAGAAAATGTGTGTGATATATATACAGTGTATTTTACGTAATACAGTCCTAATCTGGGCTAAAGGGAAATGATTTATATGAAGAGCAGTGACTTCTAACAGCCTACTGTGCCTCTGTAAAAATTGTAATTGGTATCTATATATCTGCATACTGGCAATTGTAATTAATTTGTGTTATCTTTCACAGATTTAGTCCATTTAACCTGTCCATCAACAAAAACTGCGAGGGAAGATTTAGAGCCTGTTGTACAGAAGTTATTCAGTCTAAATGCTGAAACAGAAAAAGGTAAAAATAGCTATGTATTATATGAAAAATAGTACATAGCTATTATTGTACATCTGAATCCATCATCAGTGAGCATATGTGGTGAGCTGCTACTTAGATGACAGCATTTCAAAGCAAAGGAATCTGTTGAGAGCGAGATTTTGATTAGGCAGATGTCATGTTTCTTGTATTTCATGATATAATGTTCCAAGTGTTCTTCAGCTGCAGTGTACCTTTAATGTGCAAGTATCACAGATGTGTCTAGGACTCTTCTAATGTTTAGCACTTTTTTCTCCCATGGAAATATATTTGCTTCTCAGCACGTCTTTCCAAGGCGCAGGAAAGAAATGAACTATTTGTGCACCTTTTGTTTCCAAACTCCTGTTTTTAGTGATTTCTGTCACTTCTCTGTGATAAATAAATGAATAATAAAATATCACAAAACCCCAGAAGTTATCTCTTTCTTTCCTGCAGCTGCCAGATATGCTCAGTGCTCCAGTCTTCTTCTCATCTGCCTTTAACTATCCTAATGCTGTTACTTATTCTTTCCGTCTTCAAGTGCTTCCTTGTTCACTATTTATGAAATTCTCTGGATTCTGCTGTAAGCAGTGGAAGTGTGAAGTTTTTACGCACTGTGTTGTTACTGAGAAGACAGATTTCCAGTCATTTCCATTAGTTTCGTCCTAGATCTGAGAATTTGTGCCAGCTACTTTGATGAACTTTGATTGTGAGATGGACAGTTTCTCATTCCCAGAGTAGCTATTGACAAAGCAGTCATCTCTGAGATACTTTGAGCCAGTTTCACAGAAATACTTGAAATTTAGTCTCAAGATCTTGATTTTAATTGTACCTTTGATAAGTGCTCATGTAACAGATGATGTGTGTGTAGAAGTTGCTGCCATATTCTAACCCTGATAGTCCTTTTAAATAGTTTGCTCATTCTTAAATGTAGCAAATTGTAGTTCTGCTATAAGAAACCAGTATTTCCCTGTCCGTAGAAGTGTTTGATTGTATATATGCAAGTTAGTAAGGTTTGGATATATTTTAAAACACAATCTGCTTGCTTATAATAGTTTCTCTAAAGCTTCATTCCTGGTCACTTCATGAGTTCAGTTAGAATTTTCTCATGTTGGAAAAAAAGCAACCAGCATGTTCTTTTATGTACATACTCCTTGTTTTTCCTCTCAGATTTCTGTAACCACAAAAATGTTTTGTGAAAAGTTGATTTCTGTTTCTTGTAATCTTGCTTTTCTGTGTTTTTTACCTACTTTTTTCGTTTTTTAGTGAAAAAGCAAGTAGCTTATTGTGATTGCACAATAGTAGGAAATAATGTTAAATTAAACCCATTTTCCTACTTTTTTGTTTACAGGAAAGGCAAGCTTTATTTTGATGTCCCAAAAATGTAAATTTTTCAGTAGATTTGTAGTGCAAGAGCCTATATAAGAGAAATATGTTATTTACAGCCAGAGTTTGCAAGTAAAAAACGTGCAGCAAGCGCTTTTCATGTTTGCATTTGTTAATTTAAAGCCTGCTGATTTCAAACCATAAACCTTTAAAATATATGTTAAATTTTCAACACAGTGCTATGTATTTTGAAGAATCAATTGGTGAAGAAAAGATTAGCTTGCAGTTTAGCATCTTTTAGTCATTGGGGGAGGGGAGATAACATTAATCTTAATGTTTAAAGTGATCCAGTTTTGAAATGATAGATTGTTTAGAACCTGACTGAAATTCTTCTGTAGAAACTGCATGATCATGAGGTCCTCAGGTGCACTGAGGCACTGAAAAGCTAGTTTTCACTGACACACAGGCCTTTTTATCATCAGGATGAGGTAGTGGTCGTATTTTAATTAAAATGTCAGAACAAATACTGTTGGAGTTATTGAAAATGAATCACCAGATAAAGTGAGCACTGGGCCATGGCAGGTCAAAGAGGCAAAGTCACCTGGAGAAGAGGACTCCATTCATTTTCCTGCCTAAACGAGGAAGAAGTTACTTTTATGAGCAATGTGAACTTTTAAATATATTAAAGAGCATCTTGCCCTGTATTAAGACTCAAATTTTCACAGGCTGATGAATTTAATTTATATTTGAAATTATGCAAGATGTTTAGCACTTTTTTTTTTTTTTAAGTATTTGACAGTTATAAAAGGATACTAAAGGAGTAGCATAGCTTTATCTTTTTTTTCTAATTCAGGTGTTTTAAAATATTGTTTTGAATGTTGACATCTAGTACTTTCTTCTTTGGAAAGAAGGAAATTTCACAAGGTCTTTTACAGGTTTCGTTTATTTTCGAGGATCTAAAACAGCAAAAATGAGACAGCAAATATGCCGAACAAATAGTACCTATTAAGCCTAGAAACTGTGTTGTGTTTGTTGCTTTCTGCGCTGTTAAAAAGTGACCTTCATCTTCCAAGAGGTTTTTTTTGTTTGTTTATTTTGTTGCCAGTGCACAGAGGAATTATGTGAACATACAAAGTAACTGCAAGAAGGTATAAGATGAGACTACTCAAGTCACAATTCATGGTCATTTTGTATTCGTTATGTACAAGTATTGTAACACAGTGCAAGTCCACAAGTATAGATAAATATAAATTAGTGAATGATTTTCACTTAGCGGTATTTCCAAAGTATAGAGCCCTTACGTGTTGCATATCTCAAATAGAATGCTTCTGGTTTTAGAAGCATTCTTTATCTGCAGTTAATACAAGGAGTATTCTTTGCTGATTTTTGTTTAAATGTCATTTGTTTAAACTGTGAGCATTGGTGAGTCTCCTCAGATTGAAGGATTCCAACCTTTAAGTGCACAAAAGTAATGGAAAGAGTTCTCATGCAAAGATAAGCTATTAAATGAGAGGGGAAAGTATGCATGAGAGGTGTCTTGGAATATTCACTGCAGCTTTGAGTTGGAGCACTCATTCAGCCCATCATTAGCTCATGGAATTTGTCCAGAATAAACTAGTATCATGAAATGTAAAATGGTTACATTTAGATTAAGCTTCTTGTACTACTCATTCAGGTGATAATGCATTCTTCTGTGGCATACTGAGTGCAGAATAATTAGGATTTACATACCTGTGGGAAACAGAAGTATAATGAAAACTCTTTCTTTACAGGTATGTAAATTTCTGAAAACAATGGAAAGTAAGATTAGTTTAAAAATACATGTTTATACTTGCCGTATATTATGGCAATTTTGTGTTGATTAACTGACTTTTTATGTGCTAGTTTATGTATTTCTTTTATTACACATAAATGCTGACTATAAGAAACACTATTTTTTTTCTTTTTTACAGAAACTGAAGGTGAAGAACTGGAAAAACCTAGAGTCCTCTGGGCAGTATATTTTAACATGAGAGATTCTTCAGGAATTGACAGAAATTCATACAGTGGTTTGCCCTCAAATGTGTATGTCTGTTCTGGCCCAGACTCAGCTTTAGGAAATGACTGTGCTGTCAAACAGGTTAGTAGGACCACTGCTTTTTTTGAATGCAGAATTTCTATTTGAAGTACAGTGCAGTCTATTTTTCTTCTGAGTTATTCTGCCTTTTGCTAAGTAAGCAATAATAATATATCTGTAAAGGTTCACAACTGGACAGAAAAAAGTGAATGTCAGTGGAATTGAGAATGGAAAAAACTTCAGAAAAGGGCAGTTAGTGTATTGACATTAGGAGTGTCTATAGTGTACTCTATACCAAAAAGGTATAGAGTATTTAGAAAGTAGCAGTACCTGAAGATGATGTTCTTGGTAGGATTTTTACTTGCTTTAAAACTTATATTTCAGTGATACAGCCCTCTAAAGTGTGGTCTTTTGCATGTCAGTTAAAGGAGAAAACTGTAGAGAAGCAGTATAAATGAAAAGTCAGAAAATCCTGTTTACAGGTCAACTTGGAAAAGATGTCAAAGTAGTTTAATACCTGTAGGAGTTAGCCACAAACCTAAAACCTGCTGGGGCAAGAAAACAGCATAATTACTAGTCTGTTATGTTAAGCTATCTGTCAGCTTACCTTGCCTTTACTTTAGTACCACTGTATAAAAAAATTTATAGTGCAGTTGTGTCTCTGAAAGTGTTGAGGGGAATCTCACTCTACTTAACCTTGAGATAGTATTTGGCACGAAGTCACATTCAGTTCTAACTTTTATTTCTCAGTATTTGAGTGTCTGTGTATCTATTTTCACCTAGCTGAAATCCTGAATTGAGAACCACTTGCAACTTGCCTGACAGTAGACTTAACTGACAGTGCTCAAATAAAGATGAAATACTCGTTTTTTTGAATGTGAAAGGTTAGAAGTGAAAGCTCCATAGAAAAAAAAGTAGGTGGAGAAGCTGTGAAGCAGCTGCCTTCTGTGTTGGCTGTAGGCAGAGTATGCAGGAACACAAGATCATCAGGGGTGCATACTTAGAAATTTGCTACTATTCAACTACTATTGAACAGAAGACAAAATCTTGAGACTATGACTTATTCAACAGGAGAAGACTGCAGGATTGCTTCTCCTTTGCTCTTCTATTAAAAGAGCAGTTTTGACAAGGAAAGTATAAATTCTTAGGCTAATCTGCCACAGCAGATTTGTCAGGGTACTTTCAGACCTGATCTGTGAGAACTTTTACATCTTTGTAGTATTAACTGGCACTACTCGTTTTTAAAGCTGTTTTTTTAATGGCACATTCAGAGAATGTACATGCTATCTTCTAACTAGTTGCAGGATTTTTTATGACTAAGTCACAAACCTCTTAAAATAAGAGTTTAAAATGTAAAGGCTGACATAGTCTGAACTGTAGGGTCAGAACAGTGTAATTAAGGGTTAATAGTACCCTTCATTTTGCTTTAGAAGGCAATAATTTGCCTCCTCATAGAATAAAGGATTGTGAAGACAAAAAATAATGCAAGACAATTATTATGGTAGCAGTTTTAAATTGTAAATGAATCCTTTTTTAAATGAGATTTTTTTTTCAAGATAACTTGAATCCTACCAGTTAAAAGTGGTTTCAAATCTTGTTTTTTATATTTGTTAAACAGCCTATTTACAATTCAGGTATCCACCTTTTCTAGTGTTCAGCTTTGTTCTATTTTAAGTGCTCCATTTCTGACTAATGAGTAGATCAAGCTGTTTGTAAGCAGCATAATTGTAGTTTGCCTTTATTTTAGTGATGATCAACAGATTGCACATAGAAGTTAACTGAATACATGTCAGAGGAGAAAAAGTAAAAAAGAGCCTGAGTCTCTGGCTTTCAGAAAGAGTAGAGGTTAAGGGTTTTTGAATCTATTTTAGATTTTGAAACAGACAGTCACTGATTTGAGTGAAAATGATCTTAGTGTAAACATGTTTGTAATTGAAAGTTATGGGGGGGGAAGAAAAGTAAGGAGTGTGTGTTAAGACCAAATGAATGTAAGGCAGGTAGAACATACTGTTCCCATCTACTGTGCAGGTATCTTTGAGACAAGTGGAGGAGGGAGATAGGCATGAAATCAGCTGTGTCCTCTGCTCCCAAATCACTTTCATTTTCCTAGTAGCTAGTGGGAACCTCTAAACATGCATTACTTACAAATTCATGGATTAGACTATATTTTTAAAAACTGTGTATTAGTTTTGGTGATAAATTATACGCAGTTTTCCAAGCTATCTAACCAATTCTCTTCACTAGTTTGTTTTTTTCATTAGTTATTTCTGTTAGGTTCTTTGAATGTATTGATGGTACATTTATTGTGCTACCTCACCTTACAAATAATGATTATCTATTTGCAGCTCAGTACACAGATTACTTCTTGTTTTATTTTAATTTAGTGATAGATTTTTAGTGTAATGTTAGTTTAATAATATTGATTAGTCTGTGTGCCATCAGGGGGAATAGTTAGGATGAAGTAAAGCAGAAATAAACCATAATTTTATTCAACTTAAAGCAATTTGACAGTTGTAAATTGGAATACCTGTGCAAGTGCTTCACATGCTTACATCTTACTGCGTAATCACATGTGCACTTAAACCTCTGGTATACTTAACTATGAAGGAGCTATTTACTAACTTAATTACTTACAGTAAATATCAATATGGTATTATAAAGAATATGTCAAGTTATTAGTTATTCTGCATGACTTCAGCTGGGTAAGGTTAACTTAAAAAATTGTCAGACCTGAAAGCACTCTGTACCATTAAATTGTTCAATTATAATCAATGTCATCATGTCCTACATGGCATACTGAGAATTTCTTTCCTCATAATTATTTGACCATTTTTGTTCTTCAACTAATTGGAGGCTAAAATTGTTCAGAAATGCAACTGGAAATGTTTATATGCTCTAGCTTGTTGTATGCTTAGTGGAAAATATGGCGTTTTTCCTCGGTATTCTGTTATGTATAGTAATTTAAATATGCTTTTGATGTTTCAAGGACAATTGCAGCCTTGAAATATTTCTCTTACATTCAAAAACGTACCTTTGTAAGACTTTTATTGGACATTTGCTCTCTTTTGTCTTCCAGAATATAAGGCAGAGTTTTTAAATTGCTAAACAGTATTTTTGAAATAGATAGAATATTTTTTGTATATTTATTCACATGCTAATATAAATTGGTTTTTTTTGTTGTTTTTTTTTTTTTTTTTTTAAGTTATGAACGGGTATGGAAAAGTGAAATCTAGGAAGTGGACTGAAAAATGAAATTGAAACTGGAAGTAGACAGGGTCATTTAGGCATTTAGTAATGAACCCCTACATTCAGTTGCTGGTGATACAAATCCACTACTGGTGAGCAGTCAGGTTTATCACAGAAAGCTGTTTGGTACATGCTCAATGCTGTATTAATCTGAAAACAATTTTCCCTTGTCCAGGAATCCACACTGTGTAATCAGCCTTAGCAGTTGGCAGTAACTGACTCTACTGACTCTTTTGGTGCAGCATCTGCTACTACTATCAATATAAAAATTACCTATATTGTTGCCCCTGTGGGTGCTCTCATTATGGTTATTTTTAGGGCATAGTTTACTAAATAGGCAAAATTGAGAGACAGTGGTCCTTGCCTTTGAAGAAAGGCAAAACAGAACTGGTGTCTGTATCAATTGTCTCCATTTACTGTGGAATCCAAGGGGGTTGGAAAAGAAAACCTTGATGGTCGTTGTGGTGGTTTAACTTCAGTAGGGAGCTCAGCAGCACCTTGCCACTCTCACTCTCCTACCACAGAAGAACAGGGAGAGAAAATACTATGAAAAGAAAGCACATGGCTTGAGATAAGGACAGGAAAATCATTCACCAGTTACTGTTATAGGCAAAACAGACTCTATATAAAGGCAACTCATGTAATTTATTGCCTGTTAACAGATCAAAGCAGTGAGAACTAAAATTGCCTTCTCCCCATCCACCTTCTTCTACCTTATCCCCCTGAGCAGTGCAGAGGAATGGGGTCTGCTCCCATGGGATGCTATCCTTCCCGAATGGATACCATGTGGGCTCCAAATGCAGCTGCAGCTCTTCAGACACTGCTTCAGTGTATCTCCATACCATGGTGTCCATCCTTCAGAAATTGCCCTAGCACAGGTCCTCACAAGTGGCACCTCCTGCCCCACCACAGGCTTCTCCCCATAGGCAACAGTCTGGGGTCTGTTCCTTTAGGGAGCTTTCTGTGAGCTGCAGCTTCCTTCAGGCCGCGTTCACTGCTGCACCGTGGGCTTCTCCATGAGATCTTTTCCATATGGGCTGCAAGAGGACAGCCTGCTCTGACTTGGGCCTCTCCTGGGGTGCAGGGGAGCTTCTGCTCTGGTACTAACAATTTCCTGGCTTTGCTGGATCCTTTTCACTGGAAAGAGGCAAGATCTTTCCCATCACTTTGATTTGAACTGGAGTCAGAGATATTTTTGTAATGGAAAAGTTTGGGTTGTTTTTTTTTTTAGACAATTGCAGAATATGTTTACAAAACTGCAAAACATTAAGTCAGTATTGATCTGAAAGAATAGATAATTTAAATTTCTGCACAATGCTTACATAAGGTATTACATTCCAAGGTATAGTTGTTTTACTATGTTTGTTTTCTTTAATAGGCTGAGACTGTTTTCCAGGAAATGTTTCCTACAGAGGAATTTTGTCCAGCACCACCAAATCCAGAAGATATTATTTATGATGAAGATGAGATTGCATCAGAAGAGACAGGATTCAATAATTCACCAGAGACAAAACCTGAATCCTCAGTTCAGGAAAGCAGTAGCAGAGGTAGTACTGGTGTTAAAGAGCATACTGAGGAATGAATTAGCTCTGCTCTCTTAACAGAAGAGGCACTTGGCAGAACTTGAAGGGAGGAAGGGAAAAAAAAGAAAAAAAAAAGAGGTTGAAAAAAACCCTTGGTGATACTATTTGTGATTGCCTTACTTTCCTTAGCTTGAATAATCTTTCTTATTCAAATAGCTTCATTACTAGCTATTGCTCAGTAAAGTCATAAGTCTAACTGGTCCAGGGGTGTTAATAGCTGAAATAAGATAAAAGTTATGAAACACAGTATTTGAGTTTAAGATGTTAAAATATAATTAATTACTTTTTGGGATAATTTGGTTTTGGTTTACATCTTGGAAAGAATCCTCTATCTTTTAGACAGTGAAGTCAAAACTAACTGCAAGATCATGAAAGGTTGCTTACTAGTAAGAGGATCACCTTCTGTTATAAAGTGTCAGAGTTCTGCTAAAAGTCATTGTGCCTGTGCTAGTTCAGTGTCAGCTTAATTATCTGTAATTCAGATTGCTTTTTAGGAAAGAATCTTACAGGTGATAATATTGACAGTGCTGGAATGGCGTTATAATACATGAGATGTCATGTTTAATTTGCATAGTGGAAAAAAAATTAGTGGTTTTGAAACTGAAGCCATGAATTAGAAATAAGTATAGTTCAGTGGATGTTCCACACAGGGAACAGTTTTTACATTCAGAATGCTTTCCCTTTAGAAGATTGCATAATCACACTTTTTTTACCAGATGCTTTATTTTCTGTAGCACAAATTCAAACTGAATGCTAGACTTCCCAACAAAATTCAAACTCATCTACTGAGCATAACTATTGTTATCTTCCCTGGATTTATGGTAGTGTTTGGACCTCTCATAAGCCAGTAATTGTTTGTTTGCAAGTACGATGTCTGAGCATTTTAGCGATGAGCTGAGGTGTTCCTGCAGAGAAGGTAAACCTGCTGAGGAGAAGGTTCAACTGCTAATTCTAAAGGTTTGTATTGATCCCAGTTAAGGGGATTAAAACTAGTGTGATAGCTGTACATGCTGTGTTTTGTAATTATAATCATAAAACATTTATACGATAAAATTTATTGAACTATTTATAACAGTAGTTTATATGAAGAGTTACGGAATGACCAGGATAGACTTGCACTTCTTCTAAACAGTGCTTGAAGTTAGACATTCAGACTATGAAAAACAATTTAGCGTTTATTTTAAGATTTACCTGAAAACATACACCAGATTAACAGTGCGTCCAAATAGAGAGATCAGTGAATTCTGACAAGACAGAGTTCAAGCTTGCACCTGAACTTAGATGTAGTTCTGGCAGTGCTAACAGAGTGTGTGAATAAGAATGCCATTGAGTGATGAATATTCAGCACTGTCTGAACCTGACACGACCAAATTTTTGTAGAGTTTTAAAGTGCATGTGCCTGCCTTTAAAGTGGCTTCGTGCCATAAAGGTTAATTTATTTATTTTTTTACAGCATGACTGATACAGTTAACTTTGGCTTGCATCATAATATGTTGTCCAATTTGCATTTCAAAAACTAGTTTTTTAGTGTTTACCTTCCTTGCATATTGGATAGACACTGTTGTGCATATAATCCCAAAGACCCCAGAAAAATGTCATTAAAATGTTACCGGTGGTAAACAACAGTTATCTTTGGATGCTTGTCGTTGAGCAGTTATATATATTATATTATTAAGCAGACTTATTCTTTGTTAACTGTAATTACTTTGTGTGTATTGGAAAGCATGAGTATCTAGTAATTGTATTTAACATCTAAAAACTTGTGGAAGTGGAGGACCCTGTACCTGTTTGTCTTTTGGTAGTGGGGATCATAGTTGAATTTTTCATTTTCTATGTTTACAAGGAAATTGTCATGAAAATTAAAGGTTTGCTTGCAAGTGCATTTTTGTGTGTTTTCTTTCAACCAAACAAGAAAAGCAGTTCATTTGCTAGCAGAAACTTTCTGATAATTTTGTTCTTTACTTTCAGCATGTTGCCAGCTGTAATGTGATTGAAGTTTAATGTGTGTTGACAGTATGTTTACATAAAATGTTTTATGTAAAATAACAATTTTTTTAAAAGTAACATCTTAGTACTTAATGTCCATGTGAAGTGAAGTTTGGTAATCCTGCAAAAGTGATTTTAGATGAGACAGAATAATCTGCAAGTTATAGGTTATGACTTTACACTACATTGATTGCTTAAAAATGTTTTCATGCTTTATTCTTGTGGTAAATGGAAACGTAAAGTGCTTTTCCTATGCTACTTGAGTACCCAATTGCAAGCTTACTTGCAGTACCAGTAGATAACACTTTTTGTTTTACAGAACTGCATTTTGTTCTTGCTTTAAATGATTTAAGCATACAAAGTGAGGGTTAAGCTTATTTGAAGTAGTTTTTAAGGCTTGTCATACAGGATGTATTCAAAAGATAACATGACTTTTTAAAAACTGGCAATTTATCTGTAGGATTATTAATAAATCAAGTTAAAGAAAGATAAGGTTAATTGAATTTTTAAACAAGTAGCTGTATTATCCTTCAAGCACCTTGGAGCTCATACAATATTCACACTTTTTTTTTTTTTGAGGAGTGCTTTGATATGTTGGAATTCCTTTTTTAATGAGTACTTTCTTTTTCACTTGGTTAATTGGGTTAACCCTTAATATTCAGTCAATTTTATGCCATTTTCTCTTCTGCTGTTGTATTGCATTATCTCTGTGATGGCAATTAGTTACCCTTCCTTTAGAAGTATTTTCGGTTATGAAGCTGCTACGTCTGCTTTTTTCTGGTGATGATGATGCTTAGGGCCATTTGACAGGTAATCATTAGAACTTGGATCCTTGCAGGCTATGGGGTCTTTTAGCCTATCATTGCTGGGGGATTTATGTAGGTAACTCCTATTAATGTTAATGGGACTTGCATGTGTAAATCCTCCTTGCATCAATGGGAAAATTGACCCCTGGAAAAAGAAAATCTTCATGTCAGACTTGCTGATTCAGAAAGTCCTAGCACTCTCAGCTCCTATATTGGAAATGCAAAGGGCGGGTAGGTGCTAGCTAGCCAAATCTTTGTATAGCAGCAGTGTGAATTGCAGTAACTTAATTTCAAGTACAGTTTGCTTGATCTATTGATTAATGACAAGTAGGAAATATTAAAATAATGTTTTCATGCAAAGAGACTGGGTTGCTTATAGTCCCTGTTCTCAGCTGTTGAAAAGATGAAGATTGCTGTCTCAACACTTTTCCACCTGGCACTGGGAAAACATCGACTACCTGCTTTCCACATGTGGTGGAAAAGAAGGAAAAAAAGATGGAAACAGCTAAAAAAGGGTTATTGTGGTAGGAGGGGGATGATAAAATGCGAGCATTGTAACCTCCATGCTTTAAGATCAGTTGTCTTGCACTTTTGTTTTACTGTTCTGCTCTGTGAGATTACACAATTTCTAATTGCTGATGGATTTGGAGGGGGGTGGTAAAAACCTTATATGCTTCAGGGAATTGAGGCAACAACAATTAGAATAAACCGTATAAACGGAGCAGTAGCTGACACTTGCACTGAAGAGTTCACAGTAGAACTGAGAGTATTATTTGTTTGTTTATCTGTGGCTATATTTGTCCATCCTTGATCACGCATTTTACTGCTTAGTCAGTTACTGTTGTAGGTCTTTTGTATAATCCTCTGCAGTACTGCAGTACATTTTGGTTTTTCACATTAACAGTTTACTATCAGCAGCAAACTTCCACACTCCTTTTCTTAAAATCATTTCTGAGCATATTCAACTACTCAGACTTGAGACTATTCCTATTTTTTTTTCTCACTGTCATGATTAGGTTTGGTGTTTTTTCAAGAGTTTCTAAGGGGTCTTGCTTGAAGTTTCAGGGAAGGCTAACATCACTATCACCTGGCTGTTCTGTAACCATCAAATTAGACTCCTCAAAATTTTCTGTAGATCTTTGAAGCATAGCTTTTCTTTGTGAAATACTTGTTAACTCTTCACCAGTATTATGATTGTTCATACCTTGTTCTTTTGTTGCAGTGCTTTCTGTCAATATGCATGTTATGGAAATAGTAGTAACCATAAAGCCAAGTCCTTTGAAAAACCAAGTAACCAAACAAACAACTCACTCCCTTAAGAAAAAGAAAAGTTCCGTCTCCTTAAACAGGAGGAAATCTGATATCAAAGCAACTATTCCGTTGCTATGAATATAAATAGCAGCAGCAATAGAGATGTTTCTCCTGACTTTTCTGCCATAACAAATGTTCTGTTCACTCCTTAATAGTCAATAAGATCTGTAGGTTCTGGTGTTTTGTCTGCTGATGATGATCCTTTTTTTTTTTTCCTTTAAGATTCTGTGCCTTGTTGTTTAATTTCACTTCTGCTGTTCTGGCAGCCCAAGTTCCTAAAATACAAACATATTGCATTTATGAATGTAATTCCTGTATGATCAATGTGCTGGCTAAATTTCTTATTTCAAGCTTAATATTGAAGTCACACTGTAAAACCTAATTGATATTTTTGTGTATATGCTGAGTTCTTACAGTACATATAGCTCTGTATGTGTATATAAACATATATAAATAGCTACTGTGACAAAATGAATAACTCATAAAAGTTTGTCATTTAAACCTTTGCAGAAATCAACCACTATACAGTGTCCAAAAATTAGAATTACTTGCTATTACCAAAGCTGTCAAAAGTATGTGGAAGGGCGGTAATGTTGATGGAGTTGCTTGCGTTCCTTTGGTAAGTAGTAAAGCCAAGTATTTTAGTAAGATTTGGAAGTAGTTGTAAGAGTAGAAGTTTGAGACACCAAATCTTAAATGTTCATTTTCTGCAACACACTTTGGTAGTAAGATGACCTCAGTAATCAGATAAAAAGCTTACCTTAGTTGTGTATGATTTAAAGTATACTTTTTTTAATGGGACAACAATTAATGTAGGTGGACACTTTCAGCTGTGGAGGTAACTGGTAGGAAATGGTCAGCCACATGGAATTACTGATGTCAACCTCATCACAAGCCCCAAAATTACTTTGGTTGTAAATTGAGCTCATTAGCAATTTGAATATTATGTTTATTTACAGGCTGCCAATTTGTGTTTGTAGCAGTGACTGGTTCTTCAAAATCTGGATGGGAAGCTTGGCAGAAATGTTGTAAATCTCAGTGGCATTTGAGATTTAGCAAGTTGACAGTGGAATATCAGGAAAATGCAGTTGTTCACTGTATGGAGTTCTGATCAGAGGACACTTTAATAGAAAATACTCCTCTTGTCACAGTTTTAACAAACGGTATATTTTAAACTACTTGTATACATTGACACTAATATGGAAGGTATCAACCTGAATGTATATCAAGGCCAGATATATTTGAGTAAACAATGGCTGAGTAGACAATGGCTGACTCTCAGTGTATAAAATGCTGTTCAAATGGCAGTTTTATGTAGGTTAGGTGTAATCTTGGTGAAGAGCTTATTTGCGAGTGTTGATTTTTTTTTGTTGTTTTTTTTGTTTGGTTGTTTAATTAATCTGGCCAGTGTACTGAATTCAGTAGTACGTTATCTTTACCTGGTTTTAATGTTTTCCTATTAACTGTGAGATTTTTTTTCACTCTAAAGGTTTAAGCATCAAATAGATTTAAAATACTTTCTTAGTGACAATCTAATCTTTTATTACCACAAGAGGCATGGTGCAAGGAAATTGTACTTTTTAATATGGATAATACTAATTTTTAGGAAAACTCAGAACATCCACATTTTTAGAGACAGCTTTTCAGGACCTCATACTTCATTCTGAAGCACTATTCTTTAGCTGTTAATATACATTTGGGTCTCTGGAGAAGGCTTTAGTGCTGTTGCTCCATTCTCTGCATTTAACACTTCAGTAAGTGGGACATGCCAAAGGCTGTGGATTCTCCATCTGTCTTCTCAAACAGAGGAGTGCCTTCTCTGAGGTGTTACTGCATGATAGCAATCACCATTTGGGGCTAACAAATGTGACTTCAGCTTTTTCAGCTGCTCCAGCTTCAGAAAGCTATCTCTGTAGTTTGATACTGATAGCTTTATCTTATTCCATTTCATTTGCCCGAAACACAGTGTTGGACCAAGAAATGATTCTCCATTGAAAGCA